TTTCTACTTCCTCCAATCCATTGATTAATTCACCCACAGTTTGGGTGATTGATTCTGGAGCAACAAGCCACATTTGCTCACACCAATCGGCCTTTAATACATTGAGACTTGTCCACAATGCGTTTGTTACCCTGCCTAATCATGATAAAGTACCCGTTCAATTCACTGGCAGCGTTAGATTATCATTCGATTTGATCCTTGAGGATGTGTTGTTTGTGCCTCAATTCAAATTCAACCTTATATCAGTGAGCTCTTTAACAAGAAACTCTTCATTAATCATCAGGTTTCTTACTGATATATGTGTTATTCAGGTTTTGCCAACAATGAAGATAATTGGCAAGGGTAAAAGGGCTGAAGATCTATACATCATTGATACTAGTTGCCTTAACTCGATGGAAAATAATACTACTAGCTTTGAAAATTCCTGTAATTCTATTCATTTGTCAACAAATAATGTACCTAGCCATGTTTGGCATCATAGACTGGGACATTTGTCTTTTAAGAAGTTAGACATATTGAGAAATTTGTTGAAATTTGATGTGAGGAAGAAAGACCTTTTTGTTCCTTGTCTTGTATGTCCTTTGGCTAAGCAGCGAAGACTTTCATTTGCTTCTCACAATCATTTATCTCCTGCTGCTTTTGATCTCATTCATTATGATGTTTGGGGACCCTACAATGTTGCTACACATGCTGGTTACAAGTATTTTTTGACGTTGGTTGATGATTGTACAAGATTTACTTGGGTGTATTTGATCAAGCAAAAATATGATGTTGTCTTTATCATTCCCAGATTCTTCTCCCATATGGAGACTCAATTTAACAAAGTAATAAAGTGCTTTAGATCTGATAATGCTAAGGAGCTCAGTTTTACAGATTTCTTTAATTCCAAAGGTGTAATTCATCAATATTCATGTGTGGAAAGGCCAGAACAGAATTCTGTGGTTGAAAGGAAACATCAACACCTTCTCAATGTCGCTCGTGCATTATTTTTTCAATCTAGAGTCCCTATTCAATTTTGGGGAGAATGCATCCTTACTGGTACCTTTCTAATAAATCGAACTCCATCACCAATTTTACAAAACAAGACTCCTTTTGTTTGCTTATACAATTCCCCTGTGAATTATCATCATCTCAGAACATTTGGAAGCCTTTGTTTTGCCTCCACTCTATCTTCTCAAAGAACAAAATTACATCCAAGAGCTAAGGCATGCGTCTTCGTTGGTTATCCCCCAACCATTAAAGGTTACAAACTCTATGATATTGTTTCCAAAAAGTTTTTCATTTCCAGGGATGTTATCTTCCATGGGCATATTTTCCCATTTCAATCAATTTCATCCTCCACTGATCTCATTGATCCGTTCCCAAATATTCTATTGCTGAATGTGCTTCAAGAATTGCCCTTGGAACATTCTCCCACAAGTCTTCCTACTGCCAATGATTCTTGTCATATCCCTCCAGTCAATGACTCTAGCACCATTCACAACTTAGATCAATCCCTTTCATCTATTCCTAGAAAAGGTATGAGAACACGTAGGGCCCCTTCTTACCTTCGTAATTTTCATTGCAATCTTCTGACCAAAACTTATCCTCTTCCCAACACTTCCTTATATCCTTTATCCAAATACTTATCTTACAAAACATTTTCCCCCTCACACAACTCCCTTCTCTTCAATATATCTTCCACATTTGAGCCCCAATTTTATCATCAGGCAGTGAAGTGTGAACAATGGAGGAATGCCATGGCTGATGAATTGGCAGCCATGGAAGCAAACCATACTTGGTCAATTACCACTTTGCCTAAGGACAAGCATTCCATAGGGTCTCAGTGGGTTTATAAGATCAAATTCAACTCAGATGGGAGTATAGACCGGTACAAAGCCCGGTTGGTTGCGAAAGGGTATACCCAACAGGAAGGTTTAGACTTCATTGAGACCTTCTCTCCAGTTGCAAAATTGGTCACTGTCAAGACCCTTCTTGCTATTGCTGCTGTTAAAAAGTGGCACCTTGTGCAGTTGGATGTCAACAATGCATTTCTTAATGGTGATTTGTTTGAAGAAATTTACATGGATTTGCCTCTAGGTCACCCAAAGCGAACCTCAGTTGGTCCTCAAGGGGAGAAATTGGTGTGCAGACTTCATAAATCGATTTATGGCCTAAAACAAGCATCTAGGCAATGGTTTTCCAAATTCTCTCAAACTCTTTTATTACATGGTTTTCAGCAGTCTAAATCAGACTACTCCTTGTTTACAAAGGGATCAGGTGCTTCTTTCATTGTCTTGCTGGTGTATGTTGATGACATAGTCATCACAGGGTCAGATACTACGGCAATTAATTCTTTAAAAGTCTTCTTGCATAGCCAATTTAAATTAAAGGATCTTGGTAAGTTGAAGTACTTGGCTTAGCTTGGAGATAGCAAGAACACAAAAGGGTTTTTTCCTTTCTCAAAGGCACTATACTTTACAACTCCTTGAAGATACTGGTTTTTTGGGTTGTAAACCAGCATCATTGCCAATGGATCCTAAAGTAAAGCTCAACTCCTTTGAAGGAGAGCCACTTGCTGATGCATCCCTTTATCGTCGACTTGTTGGCAGGCTACTATACCTGACCATCTCTCGCCCAGACATTACATTTGTTGTCCACAAATTAAGTCAGTTTGTCTCACAGCCTTGACAACCCCACTTAGATGCTGTACATCATCTCTTACGATATATCAAATCTGCTCCTGGTCAGGGATTGATATTTGATGCACTTTCCTCGTTCCAGATTCGAGCCTTTGCTGATGCAGATTGGGGGTCATGCCCTGACTCAAGAAAGTCAGTCACTGGCTTTTGCATATTTCTTAGAAATTCTCTAATCTCTTGGAAGTCTAAGAAGCAAACCACCATCTCCAGATCTTCAGCGGAGGCTGAATATCGGGCTTTGGCTTCATCAGCTTGTGAGATCATTTGGATTCAACAACTCCTTGATTTGCAGGTCACAGCTTCTATTCCAGCAGTGATTTATTGTGATAATCAAGCTGCCATTCACATTGCCAACAATCTTATCTTTCATGAAAGAACAAAGCATATAGAGATCGACTGCCACTTCATTCGGGATAAAGTCAACAAAGGTTTCATTAAGCTTCTACCAATTCGATCTCAACATCAACTGGCTGACATGTTCACTAAGCTGTTGCCTTCATCTCTTCTCTTCCCTCTCTTGTTCAAGATGGCTATTCTTAATCCTCATAATCCATCTTGAGGGGGAGTATTAGAGAATAATAGTTCACGTGTTTAGCATTTTGGTGCCAATTGTACAATTGTAATATAGCCATCATTCACCTATTTATATAGACCTCTTGTATTCATTTTCTGTTTTTAGAATTAACAATATGAAATGTTCTTTCATCCATAATAAGAGATCTAGCGAGTAACATTCCTAATTATTTCATTGAAACAATTTTTTTTCCTGTAATAATCGTATTATTTATTTGAATTATTTTATCTTATAATCAACAATACCTGATATTTAAGAGTTTCATTATATTAACGAACATTATAAAACTATAGTATATTATATCTTATATTCAACAATAATTGAAATTTAAGAGTTTCATTATGTTAATGAGAACTATAAATTTGTACGAAAAGGTCCTCACCCATGTTTTATCGCCAGAAAAGAAAAATAATTTTCGTGGGGAAAAGAAAACGACGAGTGGCTCAAATTTCTATTTTCTACTTTTTCTTTTTTTACTTTTTTTTTTAATTAATATTTTCATTAAATCTATTTATGTTAGCTATTTTACCATCAAATTTTTAATGGACAAAATTGAAATTTTGATACCTCATTACCAATAAAATAGTTGGGGGACTCCACTACAATTAATTATCCCATTAAAAAATTGTTTTAAAATCTGGTTTGGCAGGTCAAAGATTACAAGGAAGCTACTGCGAAATTATAAAATCACGCACTTTTATTTATTTAATAAATACAATCTTAAAGATCACAAAAAGAGATCCTGTACTTAGCCAACTGCTACAAATAAAAGGATATTCTTAAACAAAAAAAACAAAAAACAAAAAAAAAAACAAATTGAGTTAATTTTGAGCTTAATCTGGTAGAAAAACTTTCAATTTGTGGCAAACAAAAGAATATCGTGAATGGAACATTGAAATACTTCTAAGAGGATACGACATTCTAATATTCAAATATTAGTAAATTATTATTTATAAGTAGAAGTAATGATATTACACCTAAATTAAATTAAATTTCTCATTACTTCTCATTACATTAAATTAAATTTCTCTCTCTCCTACTTTTAACCACACAATTTTCAATAAAATAATATTACACATAAATCAAAAAAATTTCAACCACTATTTTTTTCAAAAAAATACTATTCATCTCATTATAATCTACAAATAATGGAGCTCAAACGGCCCCTAGCGTGTGACACCATGATGTTAAAATAACTTTAATAAAAATGGATCTATCAAAAATCGATTAAATCTATAATGCAACATCATATAGTGTTGATCTATAATGGAGATATATAACAATATTCTTAATAGAGATAAATAATATTATCTTGTTTGATTTTGTTAAAAATCATATTTTTAGTAGATTTTGATAAAAGTCAATAAAACGTATAGTTGAAAAGTTTATAAAAAATTATTGATCAAATAAAATATTTGGCTAAAACTAATTGTTTGCTTTCATTTTTATCAATTTAATTTAATTTTATTTTATTTAAAAAAAAACACTAAATCAAACGGGACCCTAGTTTTTGGTTAAATATTAAATTTCAAGATAACTACGATACTCCAACATGACATGAAATCAGACAGTTTTAATTACTAATTAAACCATTTGGGTCACACTGTCTCGAATTATTAGGTTTTCATATATTATAATAAATATTATTACTATAATCAATAGGTAACATGTTGGTCCACAAGTGTGAAATTAGCCTGCTGGAATTGCATTTTCTACACAGTCGCCAAATCAACAGTGTGACCAATTCCAGATTGCTTTGTGTATATCATTGCAAGAATCTGTAGTTTTTAATACCCATTTAAGATCTCAAACCTTGAAAAGCATATCCTCTTCCATATCCATTCACATTCAATAATACTATACAAAAATTTTTGTTTAAAGATGGATGATTTCTGTTCATTATTTCCTTTACAGCAACAAGATGGATTTTTGCCTAAAAGTACAAGTTTTTCTACTACGATCCTGGAATTCACAATCCCACAAAATCAAGTAACTGATCATTCTCCCTTAAACATTAATAATAAGGGAAAAAAGCAGCAGAAAGCGTCAACATCGATGGAAAATAGTAACCTGCAGAAAAAAATCGTGCACAGAGATTTTGAAAGGCAAAGGAGGCAAGAAATGGCCAAGCTTTATGAGTCTTTGCGTTCAGTAATTCCTCATGAACTTCTCAAGGTAAAGAAATTATTTTTGTTTTTCATTTTTGAAATATTGTATTCATACCATCATCGTATCAACTTTTTAGGTTTTAAGTTAATTTTAGGGTTTTAAATTTTTTTTTCCTAGGGTAAGCGTTCAATATCTGATCATATTCATGAGGCTGCTAACTATGTAAAATACCTTCAGAATAATAGTAGAGAATTGGAATTCAAGAGGGATAAACTCAAGAACTTGGTCCCCTCGAATGATCCGGACTTCAAAAATGGAAAATTTTCTGTCACGGTCAAATCATGTGCTGTTCATATTGAAGTTTTGATCAGTGGTGAATTCACAGCAGAAGGGCTTCCCCTATCAAGGGTTCTTGAAATACTGCTTGAAGAAGGCCTTAATATCATTAATTGTTTTTGCACCAGAATTGATGGAAAATTATATTACACGATCCATTCTGAGGTCTGATTATCAAATAAAACTTGTTTATTTTAGTTATATACCAAATAGTATGGATTTTGAGGCATGTTTGGTACCTTGGATTGGATGAGACTGGATATGAGCAAGAAATAAAGACGCCAAAAATTTGCCAGTTTCTGTCTAGTCCTGTCCAATCTAGCTTAGCATGCTTGGCTGGACTTGATGGGATATGATTAAGAAAGTCTTGCGAAAATCTTTTCATTATCCAATATAATGTACCAAATATGCTATGAAGTACACAACCAATTTGAATGTGTTTCATTTTCCCTATTTAATTTCGTAGGTCGTTCCCACTGTCAATCTTCATATGCTGCAACAAAAACTGAGTTACATGATTAGCACTCAGATAAATTTCAAGTGATTTACTCTTTTTGGAAGATTTCATATGAACTACAGAATCAAAGCTGCAGGCCTTCCAAAACTTCGTTTCAGTGTGAAATGTTTCTTGGATGTGTTTATCGAATACTTCTTGATATTGCCAGGTATTGTAAAGATGATGCAATTGAGGCTTCTAGCAATAGAAGGGTTTTTATTTTCTTGCTTAATTCTAAATCTTTATTTATTTTTTAATCATTTTATTAGTCTTTAGTTTTCCGCTTATATGCTGCTATTGGTTTTGGCTGTTTATAGTATTAAGTAAAATCTTCCTGCAAAATCAGCAAAAACGCCAACGCTAACTATAATGAAGCGGCTGAAGATCTAGTCACGCGACAGGGCTGCACTTTGCCAAATCAAATGAACTCCGTGTTTCCGTTGTTGAATGTGATTCGTTTAAGGCGATTTAGTCCGTAACATCTGAATTAGTTTTGTATCTTATGCTCTTGTAGCTTTATTAGAGGAAGTAAAATGTGTTTCGAGTCACTTTTTATCGAGGTTATGTGTCCATAATCTTGCTTAGATAGCTACCCGTCTCTAGTTAATTTTAACTTTAGACTGCTATGCTAAAATCTTCTTAGTTTCTTGAAGATAAAGTTGTAAACATAACAGCTGAGTGATGAAGAAAATACGTGAAAATGAGAGAGGGACAAGAAGATAAGAAACGAAGAAATAATTATAAAAATGTATTTGGCGACATAGAATAAAGAAAAAAAAAACGAATAAAAAAAGTTTGAGCTTTTGGTAGTCAAAAATTCGTAAAGTCAAAGTACTTGGGCCAATGTTATACAATATTTTCAAATTTACTAAGAAAAACGTGCGATTAATCTCGTGGTCAAAAAGTCATTCATGTTGCATTACAATATTAAAATGCTTCCAAATCTTGAGGACAGTTTGCTTTCAAAATAAATGAGACAATGAAATACTGAAAAGCCGTTTAACTCATCTGAGGCTATTTAAACACGTGTGCATAATTTAACCTTTGGTAATGTAAATAATAATGATAATCACCACTAATGAAATATTACACAAGATAATAGTTACAAAATTTACAAGCTTGAAGCTTCTTATCTTTTTTAAATTAATTTATTTAGACATATAGAACAATAATAATAATAATATAAACACAAAGTCAATTATCATGAATTATCAATTTAAGAAGTAAATAGAAATATCAATTACATTAACATTATTTAAAAAAGTTAGTGATCTGATGAATAATGAATTGGATTATGCTAGATATACCTAATTTTTTTTACCTAATGCTTTACATACACTTACAATAGGGCTGTGGAGATCACATGTTGGGATTATTTTATTCACGCGAGGTCAACGTGTTTGTGAGAGTAGGTAAACTATTTGGTAAATAAAATTATGTACACTTAAAATTATCCTAAAATTTATAATACTATATGGGGTCAAGAAAATAAAAATCTTCTCTATTAAGAAGCTCGTTTCCTGCCAAGAAAAACATAATTAACAAAATTCTGCATGCTCCCATTGGCACATGGTTCAGACCCCTTAAGGGAGGGAGTATCATCAACATACAAAAAAAAAAAAAAAAAAAAAAAAAAAAAAAGGCATTCAAAAGTATGCATGCATGCTGTACCTAAGCATCTTTCCATCTGTATCCCATAAAAGTTTTTGCATTTGTGTGCGTGTATATCTATACACATATGCAAATATACGAGTATATATGTAGAGAGAGAGAGAGAGAGGACACGATATGCAGACTACTGTCAAACCTATACAAATGTAAAAAGGATACTTTCGCCGGCCTATGACGAGTAGGGACTCAAGTAGAGCCCGGAGAGAGTTAGATCGAGGTGTGTGTGTATACAGTATATATTCAGAATTCAGATGGCATTTACTTGTCATTCTGTGTCCCCTTCTCCATTTGCTAACGGTTTGGGGACCCTACATAGATATATAAATATATATAATACAGAAGATGAGAAAAATAAAGTGTGTTGGGTGTATTCATTTCATTGTTTATGGTCCAATATGCATTGCAGGCTTTACAACAGATGCAATGCCCACTCTGTAAAAGAGAGAGAAACCAATTGAAGCTATTCATCACGGGAGATCACAGGCCTATGATCTTTCATGCTATTTCCTGTGAATTGTGCCTATGAATAGCATTCATAAATTTCATTCATTTTTGTGGGTGAGAAATTATCATAAATAGCTATATTTTTGTTTGAATTAAATCAGGCTATCAAGCTAAGGTAAACCAATTCAAAAGTCACGCACGCACATACGCGCCCATCATTAAATGGTATCTTTTTTTTTAAAGTAAACCATTATACTTGTCATGTTTTATTTATAATGTAAATAAAACCTAGTACATTCTTGGAATGGGTCTTGACCTAAACTCCACCTAAATGTGCAAAAGAATAGTAATAGACTTAACCCTTGTTTGAGCCCCATTCTTATTTCTAAAAATTCATTTTTTTCGCAATTCAATTTCAACCACATGTTTCTTCAATAAAATAATATTACACGTAAATTCAAATTTTTTTCTGAATTATTTATCACACATTCTTTATCAATCTAGTATTCAAAATACAATCTTTCCTCCAAAATGGGCCTCAAACAAGGGCTAAATTTTCCTCCTTCAGATGAAGGGAGTACAATTGTGAGACCTAAAAACAACTACTTTGCATTTGCTCAGTCATACTCCTCGTTGTCATACATCGAGTGAAGTATCTCTTTCTCTCACGTTTGAATTCAGATTCACCACTAGTTGGAGATTTTGATTGTTTTTCCAAGTATGAAATTTAATCATAGCAACCAAACACCGAAAAAGAATAGATGAAGTTAAACGTTTTTGTGTAAATTATGTGCATGAGATGGGAAGACTTGGAACTTGTATGTGATTTTGTTTGTCATGTGCTAAGCAAGTAATAGTGATTTAATATGTCCATAAGACATCTGCCAATCTTTTGATTGATTTATTGCTTTATTCAACAGAATTTTGGCAATGATATTCCGGGTTCTAAGGAAAGGTTTCGCCTAATCGAATTAAGTTCTTGCAATTTGTTAGAACGTGACATTACCTGTACTTATTTAATCACATCCATATGAAAAAAAAATAAAAATAGATGGGACAGGTTTTATTCTGTAATACAAGTAAAATCCATGTCAAAAGGCCTTGATTTTCCCCATTTCCATTATTCTATTTCTTTTGAAAGCTTGCTTGATGCTTTAGAGAGGACTAAACCATTTCTCAATAACTTATTAATATGTTTTGTATAATGTGTAAAATAATCAATACCACGACTACTTTGTTATCCCCTCTACGGTGGCCTGCCGAATGATCCACACTGCACCTAGATCACCCAAAGTAGCTGCTAACATGTATTTCGTCGTCATCCACTACAACTAGAGATCATTTGTCTTGGCTCCAATTTTTTTTTCTTTTCTTTTTTACTTATAAGTGATATTTAAGTTTTAATTACAGGTGCAGTGATTTTTAAAGATGTATATTTGGATTAAACTGTACTTATAAACAGCCAAACATTCCACAATAGTTAATTTTTCTAAAGTATATCAATAAATAACTAATAAAGTAGTTAACTTATTAATAAATAGAGTTATACAAATCAGTTTTAAGTTGCAATTGTTCAACGTATAAGTAAATTTTGAAAAAGTACGTGAAAAGGAGCAATTATAAGTTTGACCTAATTATATGTAGATCCATATAGAGTCCAGCCTTATAATTAGTTTTAAGTAGCAGTGGTTTAACTTATAAGTAAATTTTGAAAATATCAAGACAACAAACGGTGTTTAAGTTCTCGTTTGATTCCCATTCTTTGGCCATAGAAATGAAAAATATGACTGTTATCCATGACATCAAGCCATTGTGTGAGTCTCATAACAACTATATTTTTCATTCTCATTCTTAAGTTTATGGGAATCAAACAGGGTCTAAGAGAAAAGGTCCAACCTAACCAGAAGGAAAAGTGAAAAGAGAAGAAAAATTCACTAAAAAATTTAGCTTTGGGGACTGCTCATTTGAAATATATCCCCAATTCATTGCAAATAACTTATTGGCTTATTCGGAGGGTGTTTGGGAGAGATTTTTCACCTCAAAAAATTGATTTTTTTATCGTTATTTTACTATTTCAGTCGTAAAATTTGACTTATTCTTTCACAGGTAGCTCTCACTTTTCTCTTAACGATCAAAAATTCAATTCTCAAAATCGCTCCCAATCAAGACCTCGGCCTACAACATTAAACAACCCATATGCAAGTTAACAGGTCTCAAGAATTCGGCATAGGTGGGGAGTATTGAAGAATGTAACCGTAGGGCCACCTTGGCTGTTGGGTCCAATTCAAGATGGGGCCTACTTCTGAGAAGTTACAATTAATTTAGCCAGAAAGAACGTTGAGTGCTTGCTTGTACTGCACCATCAATTATTTATAGAGTGAGCTGTGCAGCAAACGAATAAAAATCCATAGATAATAATTGTTCGTAAATCTCGTGCAAAGTTCAAGAAATCGCACATAAAAAAAATATTTGTAGAACTAATCGCGTACATGGTGGCGTACGAAGGAGAATTACCATTTCGATAAAATTACTTGTACAAAGTTGGATTACAAAAATTGAGTTATAAAGTGTGTTGACAAAATCCATGCCATTGATTTTAATTGATTTAAAAATCTGTTTTTGAAATAATTGTTGTAGATGTGATTTTGTCATCCAAGTTTGTCTACCCCTTATATAATTGTAGCATAACTCGATTCATAGTACTAGAGTAGAATTCATTTGATTCAAAGAAAGATTAACAAGTCGTTCGGTCCAATTATTTGGTATTATAATTTTTGAAATAGTATTTTTTAGAGAATGTGTAATTAAAAAAATAAAAAAAAATTTAGTTTATATGTAATATTATTTTATGAAAAATTATATAGTTGAAAATAATAAAAAAATAAAATTATAATGTGAAATTATGGTAGCCAAACAGAGGCTTGTGTTGGAAATACTCACTACACTAATTGAGCTGTGGCTGAATCTTCAGTTCCTAGGCCACTTTGTAATTCATTTGGGGGAGTCCCGTGTGGGGTTTTAAAGTATTTCTTGTCCTAACTTTCAATTAAGTGAAAATTACCCAAAACCATGGATTTAAAATTTGATTACAGTAAATCAGGTTATTAAGAATTTTTAACAAATATCAAGTGTTAATTAAAAGGGAAAAAAAAAAAAGAAAGAAAGAAAAAGAAAGAAGAAGCTATGTCTCTCTCTATTTACAATCGACGGATAAACGGAAACTAAAGACACCCTTCAATTCCACTTCCACCTTCGTCGAAACCAGAGGTCAAATCCACCAATATAATCATTTTCATGTCTAGAAACCCATTCGAGAGGACTCATGGAGTTTTCCCTTGATCACAGTCCCTGTTTGAGAACTTGGAACCTACCTAGTACAGTGAATCGGTGTCAATCCAACCATTGCAAGGAGGGAGAGGGAGGTGGGGAGTGATTATCGACAAT